TTTTTTTTCCGTACGATAACTTAATAAGATGACGTTTATCACTTGCAGTAAATTATTTTTACCACATCTCTCTATGCCCTAAGAAAGAAACCTGTTAGTTTTGATGGAAAACAAGTAAAACGAAACACTGTTTTGTTCGAATCCCTCCCCTTTAAGTGCACCCTCTCACCCCTACTGCCTTGAATGTTCTTCTTGTTTCCCATTAGTATTGGACACATATTCTTTGAATTAGCCTGTAAATAAGAATTTTCTTTTAAACAGGAAACATAAAAATGGATAAGACTGATAAAAATGATACCCAAAGTAGAAAATCTATGTGTTGTGTATGTATTTATAGATTAAATTCAAATAAAGTATGAAAGAATTGCCCAAGAGTAGACTTGGGACATGCAAGACCAACTATAGTAAATTATTGAAATTGCTTTTACATACTGTAAATCACTTTTTATTCGCAAGAACTTTACTTTCGTGTAATTATGCGAGACAGTGCGCTCGCGAAAATTTAATTCTCGCGTAAAAAAGAAGTCCTTAAGATTATATAGAGCAATAACCTCAATTCGTGAAAATTTTGTCTCGCTAATCAAGAGTCAATGACTATCTCGCGAAAATAAAGTGTCGCAAAAATTAAGTGATCTACAGTAACTTATTCATCGAAGCTTCCCTTGGTTTGATAATTGATTGTGATCTTTTTTTCAGAATTTAAATTTCGAATGCTTGACATCAGAAAATAAATGTCGGGGTTTATTTTTCTATACATATACAATTATTTAACTTGATTTATCATTAATTAATTTCAAAGATTATAATTATAAATCTCTCTAATTTAAATAACTGGCATGTCTTTTAGGGTGCAAATCTAATACATACAGCATTTTACTAATAAACCTAAAAGACACTCCCTCAACATTCAAAATAGAAATTTAAATAAGAAAACAGCTTTTTTATGTCAAATAAAGTGATAGGTTGTTGGTAAAAGTATCTGATTTTGTTTTGTAATTAAAAGAGGAATAACTATGAAATACTTTTTTTCATTTTAAGCATTTATGACAACGGTCAACAGAGGTCAACAAGAAAAGATGACAAGGCCTACACCTTGTTCAAATAAAGACAACTATGATATTTATACAGTTATAGCTGAATCAACAGAAACTGTTCAAGGAATATATGAAATCCCTGTAGAGACCACACAAGCCCCCGTAAGCAAATGTAGATTTGACGCAGTCAATACTGAAAGATCTAACCCAACACTGGGTTCAGGTATTGTAATTGTTAAAAGTTCTTCTATAATAAGATCATTTTTATTAATGAAGTTACCATCGTAATTTCTTTAATTACGCTTAAAATTATAGTAAGCTGTCCAAAAGTTTTATTCTTTTAAAATCTGATACTGATGATAGTGCCAGTGACAAAATTGTTCACTGTGAAAAATCATGGACAATTTTGTTCCAGATCTATGACAAGCATGATAATTAACCTCATCTGAAAAGGGTAGTGATGTATCTTTATTTTATATAATAACTGTTTTACAAAATAATAAAACTAAAATGACGTTGAATAATATACATGTACGTACATGATAAAAAGTATGTATTACATGTAATTGGGATATATATAAAAGTATTTCATTTAGCAATCAAATTTTAAGTCTGGTCTATGAGTATATATAAAAGGACTCAAATAATTTGTACGAGTGTGTCATCTGTGCATTTTAGGGTCATCTTGCTTTTTCTGTCTGTTGGTGCGTATGTTAGATAGAAAAAAATAAAAGGGGGGGGGGGTTGAAGTTAATAAACAGTGATCAATAAAGAATCGATAAAGAAAGATTTTCAAAGTAAATGAATCTTTGAAAGAGCATGAAACACGAATCTATCGTGTCATTTTAAAATAATGTACAAAAGTACATTACTATACTTAGTTCTAAGGATTTTAACTCATAATTCCAAGTTATGGAATTAAGATAATGGTCATTACGTTTTGATTGTGTCTAGAGCACGACTATGATCAACCCTACATTATTAGGTAAATTGTTGATGTTAGGGTAACTAATAGTGTATTTTTTTAAATTCTGCTATTTCTATCTATAATTGGTTAAGAAGACAAATTACTCATTATGTTTTGGGGTTTTTTGAGAAAAAAAATATTTTAAGATATGCAAATAAAAGTTAATAATGAGGCCAAGTCTGTTTCAATGTAAGGATTCAGCATTACGGATGTTTCATCCTTTTTCATTTCTTTTTATTTTTTATAACGGTATCTCAGTGTTTGGATCAGGGATCAGCGGCATATTTGTTGGAGCAACACTTACTACAATTTTGTTTGTTGTTTATAACAAGAGAAAGAGGCCAGATGTTAACCAAGGGTAAGTTAATTATCGTTATTTGTTTAAAATATCATAGGAGAATACTATTTATTTTTAAATAATCTTAGAGTATGTAAACAAATAAATGATGCATTATTTTGTAAGTTTTACACTTCTTTTTTAATTATGTTAGACTTTTGTATTCCTTCATTCCATTTCCCAAAAATTGTTGATCTTAAAATATCTAAAATATATATTCCCTTTTTAAAGAAAATAAATATATGAAAAGTTCCATTTTGTCATTAATATCTACATCATTTTTCTGTAAGTTATATATCCATGCGCATAAAAAAATGTTTAAAAAGATATATCATTATATTTCCTATCAAAAGTAATTCGCATCAACCGTCAAATGAAAGACACAGGAATTATTCTGTCGCCATTTACTGTGATCCAGTTGAATGTATCGAATCGGTAAGAAATTTTGAATTTAACTACTAACATTTTATATACGTCCTTTGCATGTGTAATCAACGTATGATTCCGTTTTTTCTTTACCTCGATTAAATGAAATTTTATATGATTCAAGAACCGCAAATTGGAGGAATGTCCAAAAGGAATTCTTAACCCGGAATCACTCCGCAGAGAAAGTCAACAGAATCATTCCGATTTCGATCAAACCAGCTACAGCCACCTTAATGAGAAAGGTGAAACAGATGTCATCTTAGAAACCAACTATGATCCTGTTAATTTCACACAGAATGCAGCAAAACAACCTGTGAATTATGACGTGTGTATGGCAGTGGATATTCCAGATGCAGAAAAATCTTTTTATGAACTTCAAGAACCTTTTGAACAAACATGACGTGAATAAGATGTTTTAATTACTTAAGATGAATATCGATATTTCAATGTGTTTACGATTCAAGAAAAGGATATTTTAAAGATTGATGATAAATATATGTATAAAGTGCCTGAATCTCAACAATATTTAAATTGAATACAATGTTTGCATTATATCGGTATTTAGACTACAATACTGCAAACCAACTTTTATTTCGAATGCGAAAAATTTCCACGAGAGCCTCGTCATGGTGAATATTTTTTCGCCTCGAACTGATCTTTAAACAAGTCTCTGTGTCTATTAACAACAGATCAAAAAAAGACATTTCAAAGTTTAATGTCGACTCTAAGTGAACTGGTGTTGCTGAAGTTTTTCAAACAAATTATAAAATCCATGACATGGAGATCACGCCGGATGTAAAGGAAGACACGGGAAATTACTCCTCCATGGTACTTGATAACATATTTGATGTTTAGCGGTCCATAATTATGTTGCAATAAATATTCATTATTTCTATGAAAATTTTAGCTTGAGAACTAATCTTTTTCACAATATTCCTGTCATAGTACCAGCTCTCGCACTATTCAATCCATGACGTTTTTCCCCATATTAAGACTGTAATGCATACATCTGTATCAGCTTTTGAAGATACACAAAGAAACGCGTTCGCAATACGAACACCAAATATAAATGGATTGTCAGAATATGTATTTGTTTATTAAAATGAATAGATGTTAAGGCGTCACACTCCAGTAATTTTGAAAATTATCGAATTGGGGCTATATATTAACAAGTATTTCTGCATCGAACATGTACCGCAACTGTTGGACATTCTGTTGGACTAGACCTTTCAAATAAAAACACACATTGAATTTTCCTTACTATTACTGAAAACGACTTATTTTCATAGTTTTAAGGGAACTATTTTTGCGGAGTAAAATTAAAATATTCATGAAAAAATCCTTTTAAAGTGTAACAAATTAAAATAAATATTGTTTTCCGATAAAAAATAAACGACTATTAATACAATTTTTAATCATTTACAATTTTCCCAAGAATCTTGTAAAACTAGCGTTGACAAAGGTGTATGTGGGAGCGTAGCGGGAACGACAACTCTGGATAGAGAATGGGAATGGGTATTGTTACATTATAATGCACCTGAATATAAGGTGTAGTAAAATTGTAATCTAGTTTTGCAATATATTTTGTCATACAAATATCAAAAACAACTTTAATTAAAGAGAGCTGAAAAACTTATGAAAGAGTTATATAGTTAATTAATTATATAGTTGTTTAATTATATATGTACTTAAGTCTACTATGCGCTTGTTCTCAGATTATCTTTCTTTATCCATCATCGAGAAGCACGATCTTTCATTGCTTAACTAAGCAGAAAAGGATTAAATTTTGTTTCAATGCAAACGATTTAAATACATTAAAATTTCATTTTCTTATTTTAATCACATACGTGTTTCTGCTGGTTAATAATTCTCTTTATAATAAACGAGTTATACGTATGACTTGGTATTAATGATAAAATTTTAGCTTTTCTAGTTTCATGTTTCTATATTCATTAATTATTTTTCTTTTACATTAAGCAGCCATGATCCTGTTTTAAAACTAAACTTAATGTTAACCTGATGTTATGCATGGATTCTCTGCTTTTAAGTCAATTTTAAAATGTTTCGCATACTTATTATTTAGACATTTAATCTTTTCATAGTTTTTAGAAACGAAATTTAATTTTATCGTTCATGAGGAAATAATCCCTAGACTGATTAATAATTAGTGCCAAATGTAAAATTTATTTAAGTATTCAATTCGTAACCATGTATATGTATTTAATGTTTAACTCTGATTTCGATTAAGTAAGAAACTAGAGTTCTTTTTAGTCAGATCATATGTAAAAATCATTGTTTTCTGATCTGAGATGCAATAATTTCTTTGCATATGTTACCGTTTTGTTGATAGAACAGTTGCAATATTTCCGTTTTCTATACAAATCTTCCTAAATATAATTATCCATTTACTGCAATATTCATAATACTGTAATTAACATGTTACCAAAAAAAAGAAGAAAACCGAAAAAAAAAACGAAAAAGAAGAAAAGAAAAAAAGGAGAACACGATCGAGGCTTAGTAGATTTATAATAAATTACCTTTATATTATATCAAGTATACAGTGTATTTGTTTGGAATTAATTTGTTGAATGTATAAATTTCTCTTCAACACTCTTAAATGGTCAATACATGTATATACGATGTATTTAAATTTTCGCAAAATTTACAATCTATTTTCTCTCTCAATTGAGGAAAGGTCGCGTTATTTACTGTTGTAAACGACCCCCCCCCCCCTGTTGCTGTGTTTATGTCATAAACATATGTGGTAATTATGACTGCAGTTTTGATTGTTAAAAAAACAAATACCACCCATTTAAAATTAGTTATTATAGCAAAATATTAGATAAATGTTTTGTATCAGTTTGGCTTAAAACAGGACTAGAGAAACTCGACTTCTATTTATCCAGAAAAAGAAATTACCAGTAATAATAGGAGAGACTTGGAAAATCAAGGCGTTTTCATATCTCTTGCAATTGACTGCTACATAAAATTACATTTTTAACGCTTAAAAATGAGATGAATTCAAATTTTGTTATCAATTCCAATTCAAATAAGGTCGACATACACCTTATGAAATAGATGAGCATATTAAGTAGTTTTCAATTCATGCGTGAGTAATCTTTACAAAGAAATCAAGTCTAGTATATATAAACCATTAAATTATCTTAATAAATAATTAAACATTTAATAAAATGATACTTAGTTTAGCAATATTTATTGTTACTGACAATAATAAAAAAAAACACTTCGAATGCATATAAACGTTTTCTTGATTATTTAACTTGAGAAAATCAAAAAAAAAAAATAAATAAGATAAAAGATATACCCTATAATTGTACGAAATCATTGAATATTAACTAGGGTTAGAAATTAGAGCAATTACCCAATGGGTCCTGGCTTTCTTTGTTTTCGTGGGTATTTATACAGAAAAGTTCCCACAGGAAGCTTCAGCATAAATGAAATATGGGGATATGGTACAAAACTTAGAGAATCAGGTAGGGGATGAGGCAGCAATATATTATGATAAGAACTTCAGGGAGTGACGACCAACTAACCTCGAAACTTTCCCTTGGAGAAATTTTTTTTCCGGGGGGGGGGGTCTACCTAAGTCAAAAAAAATTCAAATCCCAGAAATTTGCCTATACAAATGAATATCATTTTCTTGATTCAAAGAACATTTAAATTCGTGGATCTGCTCACAAACGAAATCCTCGAAAATTGGTGCTCAACGAATATTGATGAAACCACAGTAGTTCAGATTCGGGTTTGTTCAAATCATGACCACTATTTTATGTTGGGGTCCCTGTGAGTCATTCAATTTCCACATAGGAGTAGCAAAGCCATGATGGGTGTTTGTAATGAAAGCATTCTCAGTTAGAATAAAATCAAATATTCAAATTATAACCCCGGGGTAGGGTGAGACCACAATAATCAATCTATGTTGAACATGGAAATACAAAAAAAAATATCCTAAAGTTCCTTTTCTCAAGGTCAGCTAAGCCATAATTAGTCGTAATAATAATCAAGCATTTTAAGGTAAATTATGTAAATTCATTTTATTCAAATCAAGTTAATTAAACCCTCGCTGGCAGTATGGAGGGGTCAGAACAAGGGATAGTATTTATACAATGTAAGTAGTCAAGGCCGTACGTATAGGTCATTTTTTCCCGCCAAATTCGGTGTAACATAGGATATACGAGGGGAGGGGTTAAAACTGATACCCCCGGGGAAATAAATGGGTACTTCTTTAAGGGGGTCTTTGAAAACAAATGATACCCCCGGGGAATTCATGAGGGTGCACCCTCGGGGAAATATACAGGTACGGCAACCGGGTTTTAATTGGATAACCCGGGAATTCATTACGGTTCAACAATTTCCCGCCATGTATCCATACAGCATTATTTCTGGTAATGTTTATAAGCCTGTAATAATTATTTTTGTGCCACTGTTTTGTCATTAAATCATTCACTATGTATCATGTTTATGTACGAGAGCACTTTTTTTTCTTTGGAAATAGATAATATTGGAAGCAACAGGGAATAAGGATAAGTTTCTTATAATGAAATATTTAATTACCTTGGTCCTATTCTGGGACAAATTTTGTCATTTTTAATAATTTGTTTCCTTCATGGGAC